TTTTTTTTTTTTTTTTTAATTTGAAGTATAATTGACACACAAGGTGACATTAGCTTCAGATGTACCACATAGTGACTGGACAGCTCTATGTGTTACGTGACGCTACAAAAGTAGTTAGCATCTGTCACCATACAATGTTATCTTAACAGTTATAGCTTGATTCTGAATAAACTGTTCTCTGGGACTTGATTCTGCCCAAAAGAGAATGCATAAAGCAATATCAACACACAAAATCCAGAGGCAGCTCAGTGGCTCAGTCGGTTAAGTGTCTGACTTTGGCTCAGGCCATGCTCTCACAGTTCGTGGGTTGCAGCCCTGAGTTGGGCTCTGTGCTGACAGCTCAGAGCCTGGAGCCTGCTTCGGATTCTGTGTCTCCCTCTCTCTCTGCCCCTCCCCCCTCAAAAATAAATAAACATAAGAAAATGTTTAAGAAAACTCAAAAATCAGCATGAAATTAGCACTAAAAACCTAACTAAGATTTCTTTTCTTTGTACATGTTATAGACATTGACAAGTTAGAACCTGATTGACTTTGTACCATGTTACCTCAGGATGTCACTTCCATGTATTACCTGGAGCTGCTCTAGGATTAATAATGAGCTCTCCTCTAGGAGACTCCTGGGTGGACAGAAAGGATCTGAGAGTCCAGTAGGAAGTGGAGGACCAGCTTAGCCCGGCAAGGAGGTTAAGATCTCGTCCCCCTCCCTCTCTCTCTCTCTCTCTCTCTCTCTCTCTCACACACACACACACACACACACACACACACACACACACACTTTCCTTTATTCTTTCCTAGTTTTCTGGAACTGCTTCCTCCTCATGACACCCCTGACCCCATTCCCAACTGTTTCCTAGCCTGGAACTTACTGGATTCTGATGAATCCAGGGTCAGGGAGAGGGTAAGGAATAGGAAGGAAAAGGAAGGAGGGAGGGGGAGAGGAGGAGGAAAGAAGGGATAGAAAGAGGAGAGAGAAGGAGAGGGAAAGAGAAAAATGTCCCTTTGTTCCTCAAAAGAGAATACATGATACATTGGAGCAGCATTCACCAACAAAACAACCTACATTTGCTAAATGCTTGCATTTACCATTTCCTGGTTGCCTGTAAGCATAAGGAGGTGGGAGTCTTCGGTTAGGCAGAATTCCAGACTAGAGTCCCAGTCATTTTTCTCCACTGAGAAGTAGTAACAGTGGTTGCCATACCTCACCCAGAAGTCTGGGCAGCTAGGACAACTGGGAGTGGAACCTAGAAAGGAAGAAGACCTGGTTCACATCTTTATGGACCACTTAGCCTTGGAATAAAATGGGAGAGAAATAGGATATGGCGGCCCCCCGGTCTTCCCTGGCCCGCCATCTTTCGGACTAAGGTTTAGAGAAACGTGCAAGAGTGCATGGCCTCAAATTAAAAACCTCGCAATGCCCAACTCCATCACAACTACTGTCCGTTCCACAACACAAGCATCTGACTATGACTAAAGAAGAAAGTAGGGAAATATATACAACCTGACTGAGGACCGTGGACAAAATACCTTACTTGATTAGAGGTCTTTATGCCCACATGCCAAATACACACCAAATAAAATAATGAAGCATCCGCATTACCTATATCAGTGCGTGGTCTACATAGGTTCAGTGCATACACTGTGTAGCTGATGATATACATGGCTGAAATCAGGCAGAATCTTCCAGAATGCCCAACCTCAACCTGATACCCCAGGATAGTCCAAAGAAAAGGACAGAAACTAGAAAAGCAAACTTCTAACTAGAGTGAAAGACAGGTGTTTTGTCTTTTAGCACAAATGCGATTGTCTATCATCACTGGATATTAGACAAAAGACTTTTACTTCAGCAAAAGAATTTATCAGAAAAAGTTTTCCAACAGAGAAGGATATCAGATGCTAAAGCAAAAAGTGAATGCAATTGTCTTCACAGGACTCTTAATTACAGAACATTCTCATTCCTTTAAAATGGTTGGATTATAGTGCTGTGAAAATGAAAGGGAACTGAGTAAGCTTTCGGGGTAATTTCAGCCAAGATTCCATAATTCTACTGATTTTCTACTTCCATGTAATACATTTGTATAAACACCTCCTAGGCACAATTCCACGGTAGGCAAGTATGAGCCATTATAGCAAATGAGCACTTTGTGGATATATAATTGGATAATAGATTACATATCTAGTGTAGTGTGGATTTGGGAGGTTAAGAGGAGGGAAGGCAGTACTTTCATTGTCAAAATTAGACAACTTGTCTGTGGCTTGGCGTGAGACCAATATAGGGTTCTGGAGATTAAGCTATAAAGTTGGCACCTTACAGCTTTGTGCTTTTTTCTGTACAACTGTGGCATTTCCCAGCCTTCCCTTGGAGTCTCTTTCTGTCAAAGGACTTGGGTCTTTGGTAGAGGTGCCAGGATGAACCCTTAGAGTCCTAATGAATAAAGCCTGGATAACAATCATCTGTCACTAACAATCATCTCAATAGCATAACCTCAGTCAGGACTCTGCATGGTGGAACAATAAACTAAGGGCTTTCTGGGCCATCACAGTGAATGACCTAGAAGAATTAAGTCTAGAAAATTTCATTTTAGAAAATGTGAAAGCACTCTAAAAATCAGAATATATTTAATTAAATGTTGATATATCTATTACGTGAAAAGTCAAACAATATATGATTATAATAATACAATTACGATTTGATTAGCATGATAAATATGGTAGTGGGTTGGAAAGTGTTTATGATAGAATATAAAATTAAAAAGCAATGTACAAAATTATAAGCATAAAATGACCAGAACTACAGCCAGCCTTACTTTAAAAAAAAAAAAAAAAAAAAGGTGGGGAAGATTTTAGAGGACTTGACAGAAGTTCTGTTAAGAGAATAAACACTTACATAAATGCTTGCAGTCACAGACTAGGGAACTAGACCCAGGAAACGTTTATACAAGCGGTGATTTATTTTGTTGGCATTATTTTTCATTTTTCAAACTTTCTGCTATGTTATATTGTGTTTATAACCCAAAATAGGTAAAACAGGGGTGCCTGGCTGGTTCAGTCGGAAGACCCTGGGGACCCCTGACCTCAGGGTCATTGAGTTCAAGCCCCATGTTGAGTGTAGACATTACTTAAATAAATAAGCCTTTTAAAAAGTAGGTAACATAAAGATGTTGACTTAAGATTATTACTTACCCTGGCACAGAATCCACTGAAAAAGCAGAGAACACACTAGAAGGGTGTTCAGAAGTCCCAACGCTATTGCCACATGGCACGAGAGGCGGGACCTGGAAGAAGAAACTGCAAGCACAGAAATCCCGAGTTAGAATAAACGCTGAAGGAAAAGACAAGGCCACAGAAGGATATCTGGTCTTGAACAAAACCTGGCTTTGCTGGATATCGGACTTGCTCTGAAGTCTGGAGTAACAACCCACATCTTTATCAAGCAACAGACTACATTTGTCAAGTTAAGAATACTTTCTTCTTGGGGCGCCTGGGGGGCTCAGTCAGTTAAGGTCCAACTTCTGCTCAGGTCATGATCTCACAATCTTTGAGTTCAAGCCCCGTGTCAGGCTCAGAGCCCAGAGCCTACTTCAGATTCTGTCTTTCTCTCTCTCTCTCTGTCCCTCCCCTGTTCATGGTATCTCTCTCTCTCTCTCTCTCTCTTTTAAAAATGAATAAACATAAAAAAAAAAAAAAAAAAGAAGGAGTGCCTGGGTGGCTCAGTTGGTTAAATGTCTGATTTCAGGTCAGGTCATGATCTCATAGTTCGTGAGTTCGAGCCCTGCATTGGGCTCTGTGCTGACAGCTCAGCGCCTCCAGGCTGCTGCGGATTCTGTGTCTTCTTCTCTCTCTGCCCCTCTCCTGCTCGCACTCTGTCTCTCTCTCGCTCAAAAATAAATAAACATTAAAAAAAAACAAAACTTTCTTCTTGGGTACCTGGGTGGCTCAGTTGGTTGAATGTCTGACTCTTGATTTCAGCTCAGGTCATGATCTCAGCCCCCAACTGGGCTCTGTACTGACAGCAAAGAGCCATAGGATTCTCTCTCTCTGCCCCTCCCCTGCTCGGTCTCTCTCTCTCTCTCAGAATAAATAAATAAACTTTAAAAAAAGAATATTTTTTCTTTTGAAATTGTGGCTTACACGGTCTCGTGCTTCAGCAGTGAAAATATTAATTGGCACAACTACTTTGAAGGACAATTTGGCAATGTCTACAAAAATTGCAAAGGCATTTATCCTTTGGTCCAGCAATTTTTTCCTCCAGATCCTCACCCATGTGCAAAATGTCATATTCATAAGGCAATTTGAGGCCTTATAAATATGGCCTCATATTTAGTTAGAAGAAACGACTGATTTCAATGTAAATGTCTATCAATAAAAGACCAGTCAAATACATTTTATTTTTTTTAAATACATTTTGATATATCTATAAAGTGAATGTTCTTAAAAAAGGAATAAAGACACACTTTTTTTTTTTACAGATATGGAGTGATTTTCAAGATATATAATTAAGTTGGGAAAGAAGTATTTTACAGAGAAATGTATGCTGGTATTTCTGATAGTAAACACAAGAATCTGATAACATTGTTTGCCTCGAGGGAGGGGAATTAGATCACTGAGGATAAAAATAGGAGGGAGACATTTTTACCTCGTTTGCTTTTGCACCTTCTGAATTTTGAACTATGGGAGGTATAACCTAGTCAAAATTTAAATAACTACAATTTAAATGAAAATAAAACAACCTGCATCTCAGAAGTGCTCTGCAAACTGTCATTTCTAAAGGAACAATGAGTTTAGGTTGATACATATGTTTAAGAACAGAACGCTACTTCATATTAACTATGTTACATATAACCTATGTCTGAGAATGCTACTTTCCTCCACTTGGAAAATGCAAATTTTTCTGAACTCAAACTTTTTTTTTTTAATTTTTTAAAGTTTATTTATTTTTGAGACAGAGAGAGACAGAGCACGAGCTGGGGAGGGGCAGAGAGAGAGGGAGACACAGAGTCCGAAACAGGCTCCAGGCTTTGAGCTGTCAGCACAGAGCCTGATGCGGGGCCTGAACCCACGGACCGTGAGATCATGACCTGAGCCGAAGTCAGATGCTCAACCGACTGAGCCACCCAGGCACCCTATAACTCAAACTTTTATCTCAAAATCACAATGATTTCATAGTCTGACAGTGTACGGTTTAGTGTAAAGAACAAAAATGTATCAAATAAGAATTTAAGTGCTACTTTTGACCCCTTTACATGATCATCTTTAATTTGGAATTTTGGAAATTAATTCGATTTGGGGTTCTCACTTTATTACTTAAATTTTAGATAAATTATTCTGTAGACATGTGTGTATATCCATGAAGCATTCTGAACTTCTTAAAAGAAAGAAATTCATAGTGAGAGATATCTTTAAAATGGGAGAGTTCAGGGGTGCCTGGGTGGCTCAGTCGGTGAAGTATCCGACTCTTGATTTTGGCTCAGGTCATGATCTCACAGTTGGTGAGTTTAAGTCCTGCATCAGGTTATGCTGACAGCGCAGGGCCTGCTTGGGATTCTCTCTCTCTCCCTCTTTCTATCTGCCCCTCTTCTGCTCTCTCTTTCTCTCTCTAATAAATAAATACCTAAAAATATTTTCAAATAAATAAATAAAAATAAAATGAGAGAGTTCTGCATGATAAATATTTGGACTGGCACACCCCAAAACACTACAAAATACATTTGTGTTATAGTAGAATACTTAATAAAATAAATGTTGCTTTTAGATGTTATGCAGAATGAAAAATGGCATTCAAACATAATTGTATTTGTGTAACCACAAGCCAATTCAAGAAATTAAGCGAAATTTAAAATCTGTTTTAATTTACTTTAAAAATATACATAGTAAGAGCCTCTTAGTAGAGTACATACAGTAGACTCAGCATAGAAACACAAAAATAGATCAAAATAGTAATGGTAACAATCGCCACACTGTAAAATTATTAGTGATTTTTATTTTCTTGTATCTGCTTTCATAGTTTCCCTGTTTTCTATAATAAACATATAATAATTTTGTACAGAGATTTTTAACATAATTTTAAAGCTCCTAATTATCCTATGCCCAAGTAGAGCACCCTGGAAAGCTAGGGTGGGAAGGGACATACTGACAGTAAATAGGAATGTGCAATATGTACTGTATATAAATAAACAGCCACTTGTCTAGATATCAAGATAATTTTATTCAAGTTCCACTTACCACTGTGTGACCTTGCGCTTACACTTTAGTATACAGATTCCTTTGACTTACCATTTTTATTCCTTAGAAATTGGTACATATATCCAAAAGAAAGAATTATATCTATAAATGTAAAGTTCAATGCCATATAATTGATAGTAATAGAAATAAACTTAAATGTCCAAGTACACTGGAATGATTTAGCAAATTATAGCAATGCTTTCAAAGAACCACACTAAAAATAATAAGACTATGTAGCTAAAAGAGAGAAAGTTTATGAAGCCCTACTAAGGAGCCTACATTGTGGGAGTTTATTGCCTAAGATATAAAGTCAAATATTAATTTTGGCTCTTATACTATTATCTGCCTGTCTCAGAAAGTGTTCTCACAGGGCTCCATGTCATAATGTCTTTTTCATCCTCAAATCCCTCAAAGAGTCACTGAATATTTATCGGTAGTATTCTTGATACCTTCGTCCTACCCCAGTGACCACTCTGGTGGAATACTGGGGGTGGGTGGGGATCTAGACATGGGAGTCAGTTTCTTTCCTAACAAACACTACTATCCATTAGAATTATTATTGGTGTCTTTCTCTTGACTTTGTAGTCAGGAGAAAAAACAGAGATGCTTAGAATTTAAACAGCTGGTCCAAGGTTACTACAAACATTACTAAAGAGATGAAGTTCTCCCACAAAGTTCTCGCTTTAGTTCAGGAGCAAGAAAGACTAACAGAATCGCCTTAGTTTGGTTTTCAGAGATGAGACTATAGATGTGAACAGTAAGGAAAAAAAAGAATGTACCTGAGACCCAGCTAAGATCCGATCTTTGACCATAGACCAGATTTTCATACTCCAAGCTGGCACTTCAAACTGAACCATAAGTACGCTTCAAATTGCCCTCAATTGTTCTGCATCCTCTCCTCCAAACTTCTACTTCCCATTCACTCCTTAGCCTAAGGTCACTTGCACAGTTTTGCACACTGACTTGATTAACTCACCTTTTTGCTGTGGTCTGTAGTCATTCTGGGCTGGAGGTTCAGAAGACTGTGATAGAGAATAAATATCATTGTCAATCATCTTCCTCAAATGTCATCCACATTCAGCCGAGAGAGTAAAATTAGAGACGTATGAAGAGACACGTGTCAGTGAGGAAACAGCCCAATGTCTAAACTGCTAGCAGGAAATTTGAAGGTTTTCAAGTTGTTGCTTTTTTTTTTTTTTCAAGAAAAAAAAAAAAAGGTCCAGCATGACATAAAAGAAGTAATTTTTCAGGAAATGACTCAAAGTCTGGAGGCTGCCTGAGGATTTTAATATTCTAAACTCTGGGTTTTTTTGTTTCCCCTTACCATACTCCCTAGATACTCATTAAATACATATTAAATAGATTCCCATCTCACATAATTCTATTCAGCAAGAAAAGTCGCCCTGAGGGCCAGCAATTTCAATTATGGAAACTGAAATAAAAACGAGGGCGGTTCTTAGTTACGAATTTATCTCAGATTTTGTATTTGCTTTGTTTCCTTTTGAGAAAATAGATGCATGTCACGTGGGACCGATTTCATTGCTTTTGGAGCTTTTGGTTAGTGGCATATGACAAAAGAAATAGACTGTCGGGTGTCTGTGCCGGGCATCCTGGGGAAAATGACCAAGGACCAGATACATGTTTTGTGAATATGCTGTACCTTCAGGGGCCCCCAAACATCTTTCCCATTTGTGCTCTAATCTTTACGCTTCACAGCATCAGAAATTCCATTAAATTTTCTCTCCTTGTTCTCTTATTTCTATTTTCAAAAACAACTATAAAGGGGGAATGAATTAAATAAATATATACTAAAGTATGAATAATGCATTTCTAATAGGTTAAACATTAATAATAAAAGGTGAAAGTAAGGAAAACAGAAACGGAATTGAAACTCTACGTAAGTTCACTGAAACACAATGTATAAAGATAGAAGAGAGGAAACAGAAGAGAAACAGGGAGAGCATACTAATAAAAACTAGGATAGCTGTGGGGCGCCTGGCCGGCTCAAATGATAGAGCATGCGACTCTTGATCATGAGTTTGAGCCCCACGTTGAGCATAGAGATTACTTAAGAAAAAGAAAAGCGTTTAAAAACTAAAAAAAAAAAAAAAAAAAAAAAAAAAAACAAATATAGTTCTGCGACTGGGGGAGGGAGAAATGGGGAATTGTTTAATGGCTCTAGAGTTTCAGTGCTGCAAGATGAGAAACTTCTGGAGATCTGTTNGTTTATTTATTTTTGAGACAGAGAGAGACAGAGCACGAGCTGGGGAGGGGCAGAGAGAGAGGGAGACACAGAGTCCGAAACAGGCTCCAGGCTTTGAGCTGTCAGCACAGAGCCTGATGCGGGGCCTGAACCCACGGACCGTGAGATCATGACCTGAGCCGAAGTCAGATGCTCAACCGACTGAGCCACCCAGGCACCCTATAACTCAAACTTTTATCTCAAAATCACAATGATTTCATAGTCTGACAGTGTACGGTTTAGTGTAAAGAACAAAAATGTATCAAATAAGAATTTAAGTGCTACTTTTGACCCCTTTACATGATCATCTTTAATTTGGAATTTTGGAAATTAATTCGATTTGGGGTTCTCACTTTATTACTTAAATTTTAGATAAATTATTCTGTAGACATGTGTGTATATCCATGAAGCATTCTGAACTTCTTAAAAGAAAGAAATTCATAGTGAGAGATATCTTTAAAATGGGAGAGTTCAGGGGTGCCTGGGTGGCTCAGTCGGTGAAGTATCCGACTCTTGATTTTGGCTCAGGTCATGATCTCACAGTTGGTGAGTTTAAGTCCTGCATCAGGTTATGCTGACAGCGCAGGGCCTGCTTGGGATTCTCTCTCTCTCCCTCTTTCTATCTGCCCCTCTTCTGCTCTCTCTTTCTCTCTCTAATAAATAAATACCTAAAAATATTTTCAAATAAATAAATAAAAATAAAATGAGAGAGTTCTGCATGATAAATATTTGGACTGGCACACCCCAAAACACTACAAAATACATTTGTGTTATAGTAGAATACTTAATAAAATAAATGTTGCTTTTAGATGTTATGCAGAATGAAAAATGGCATTCAAACATAATTGTATTTGTGTAACCACAAGCCAATTCAAGAAATTAAGCGAAATTTAAAATCTGTTTTAATTTACTTTAAAAATATACATAGTAAGAGCCTCTTAGTAGAGTACATACAGTAGACTCAGCATAGAAACACAAAAATAGATCAAAATAGTAATGGTAACAATCGCCACACTGTAAAATTATTAGTGATTTTTATTTTCTTGTATCTGCTTTCATAGTTTCCCTGTTTTCTATAATAAACATATAATAATTTTGTACAGAGATTTTTAACATAATTTTAAAGCTCCTAATTATCCTATGCCCAAGTAGAGCACCCTGGAAAGCTAGGGTGGGAAGGGACATGCTGACAGTAAATAGGAATGTGCAATATGTACTGTATATAAATAAACAGCCACTTGTCTAGATATCAAGATAATTTTATTCAAGTTCCACTTACCACTGTGTGACCTTGCGCTTACACTTTAGTATACAGATTCCTTTGACTTACCATTTTTATTCCTTAGAAATTGGTACATATATCCAAAAGAAAGAATTATATCTATAAATGTAAAGTTCAATGCCATATAATTGATAGTAATAGAAATAAACTTAAATGTCCAAGTACACTGGAATGATTTAGCAAATTATAGCAATGCTTTCAAAGAACCACACTAAAAATAATAAGACTATGTAGCTAAAAGAGAGAAAGTTTATGAAGCCCTACTAAGGAGCCTACATTGTGGGAGTTTATTGCCTAAGATATAAAGTCAAATATTAATTTTGGCTCTTATACTATTATCTGCCTGTCTCAGAAAGTGTTCTCACAGGGCTCCATGTCATAATGTCTTTTTCATCCTCAAATCCCTCAAAGAGTCACTGAATATTTATCGGTAGTATTCTTGATACCTTCGTCCTACCCCAGTGACCACTCTGGTGGAATACTGGGGGTGGGTGGGGATCTAGACATGGGAGTCAGTTTCTTTCCTAACAAACACTACTATCCATTAGAATTATTATTGGTGTCTTTCTCTTGACTTTGTAGTCAGGAGAAAAAACAGAGATGCTTAGAATTTAAACAGCTGGTCCAAGGTTACTACAAACATTACTAAAGAGATGAAGTTCTCCCACAAAGTTCTCGCTTTAGTTCAGGAGCAAGAAAGACTAACAGAATCGCCTTAGTTTGGTTTTCAGAGATGAGACTATAGATGTGAACAGTAAGGAAAAAAAAGAATGTACCTGAGACCCAGCTAAGATCCGATCTTTGACCATAGACCAGATTTTCATACTCCAAGCTGGCACTTCAAACTGAACCATAAGTACGCTTCAAATTGCCCTCAATTGTTCTGCATCCTCTCCTCCAAACTTCTACTTCCCATTCACTCCTTAGCCTAAGGTCACTTGCACAGTTTTGCACACTGACTTGATTAACTCACCTTTTTGCTGTGGTCTGTAGTCATTCTGGGCTGGAGGTTCAGAAGACTGTGATAGAGAATAAATATCATTGTCAATCATCTTCCTCAAATGTCATCCACATTCAGCCGAGAGAGTAAAATTAGAGACGTATGAAGAGACACGTGTCAGTGAGGAAACAGCCCAATGTCTAAACTGCTAGCAGGAAATTTGAAGGTTTTCAAGTTGTTGCTTTTTTTTTTTTTTCAAGAAAAAAAAAAAAAGGTCCAGCATGACATAAAAGAAGTAATTTTTCAGGAAATGACTCAAAGTCTGGAGGCTGCCTGAGGATTTTAATATTCTAAACTCTGGGTTTTTTTGTTTCCCCTTACCATACTCCCTAGATACTCATTAAATACATATTAAATAGATTCCCATCTCACATAATTCTATTCAGCAAGAAAAGTCGCCCTGAGGGCCAGCAATTTCAATTATGGAAACTGAAATAAAAACGAGGGCGGTTCTTAGTTACGAATTTATCTCAGATTTTGTATTTGCTTTGTTTCCTTTTGAGAAAATAGATGCATGTCACGTGGGACCGATTTCATTGCTTTTGGAGCTTTTGGTTAGTGGCATATGACAAAAGAAATAGACTGTCGGGTGTCTGTGCCGGGCATCCTGGGGAAAATGACCAAGGACCAGATACATGTTTTGTGAATATGCTGTACCTTCAGGGGCCCCCAAACATCTTTCCCATTTGTGCTCTAATCTTTACGCTTCACAGCATCAGAAATTCCATTAAATTTTCTCTCCTTGTTCTCTTATTTCTATTTTCAAAAACAACTATAAAGGGGGAATGAATTAAATAAATATATACTAAAGTATGAATAATGCATTTCTAATAGGTTAAACATTAATAATAAAAGGTGAAAGTAAGGAAAACAGAAACGGAATTGAAACTCTACGTAAGTTCACTGAAACACAATGTATAAAGATAGAAGAGAGGAAACAGAAGAGAAACAGGGAGAGCATACTAATAAAAACTAGGATAGCTGTGGGGCGCCTGGCCGGCTCAAATGATAGAGCATGCGACTCTTGATCATGAGTTTGAGCCCCACGTTGAGAAAAAAAAAAAAAAAAAAAAAAAAAAAAAAAAAAAAAAAAAAAAAAAAAAAAAAAAAAAAAAAAAAAAGCTAATATAGTTCTGCGACTGGGGGAGGGAGAAATGGGGAATTGTTTAATGGCTCTAGAGTTTCAGTGCTGCAAGATGAGAAACTTCTGGAGATCTGTTGTACAACGATGTGAACATACTTGTGTTAATCTGCCTAGGCTCCCATAACAAAATGCCCCAGACCACATAGCTGAAAACAACAGACATTTATTTGCTCACAGTTCTGGACACAGGAAGTCCAAGATTATGGTGCCTGCAGGGTTGGAATCTGGTGAGAACTCCCCCACCCCCATCCCCAGCGGCAATGTCCTTCTTAACTACGGTATTACATGACCTTTCCTCAATGCACGTGTGAGAAAGCAGGTCTTACATGACCTTTCCTCAATGCACGTGTGAGAAAGCATGTAAGCTTTCTGGTGGCTCTTCTTATAAGGATGCTAATTCCGTCAGATTAGCAGGGCCCCCCCATAACGACCCCATTTAACTTTGATTACTTCCTTAGAGGCCCCATCACAAAATAAAGACTGGAGATTTAAGGCTTCAACATAGGACTTCAGGGGTGTAAGGGGAACAAATATTAAGTCCATAACAACTTAACATTTTAATACTACTAAACCGTACCCTTAAAAATGGTTAAGATGGGGGGCACCTGGGTGGCTCAGTCAGTTAAGCATCTGACTTCAGCTCAGGTCATGATCTCGCAGTCCAGGAGTTTGAGCCCCACGTTGGGCTCTGTGAGGACAGCTCAGAGCCTGGAGCCTGCTTTGGATTCTGTGTCTCCCTTTCTCTCTGCCCCTTCACTGCTCGTGCTCTGTCTCTCTTTGTCTCTCAAAAATAAATAAACGTTTAAAATAATGGTTAAGATGGTTAAAGACAAAGAAGAGAGAGGAGGAGGAGGAGGTGGCCGTGGTGGCAACATAGGAACAGGTTTCTTGAGGAAATGACTAATTCTAGGGTCAGGGCACAGAAAATCCAAGATGAGCCTGGCACATCTTAGTCTTTTAATGCTAGCAAATGAAGAGGTACTCAAAGCTTAAAACAAACAAAAGAAAGATGAGGTCATGTCAGAAGGACACGGAACCAAACTGACAAAGGTCCCAATGGCCAAAAATGAAATAATTAGAGCAAGAAAATGAGTAACGTATTGGATTATAACTCTGGGGTGGCGGAGGGTTGGGGGGGGTAGCTATGAATTCATACTGACTGATTTTTTAATCTGCATGTATTTTGAATTTAAATTGTATATGCTTAAAGCATATAATGTGGAACTTTTGATATAAACATTGTGAAATGATTACCACAAAGTAATTAACATGCCCAACACTTCCAACAGTTACCATTTGTGTGGGGAGGCAGGCGGTGGTGAGAACACTTGAAATCTACTCTCTTAGGGGCGCCTGGGTGGCTTAGTCGGTTAAGCGTCCGACTTTCGCTTAGGTCATGGTCTCGCCGTTCGTGGGTTCGAGCCCTGCGTCGGGCTCTGTGCTGACTGACAGCTCGGAGCCTGGGGCCTATTTCAGAGTCTGTATCTCCCTCTCTCTCTGACCCTCCCCTGCTCATGCTGTCTCTCTCTCTCCTAGAAATAAATAAAAGAAAGAAAAGAAATCTACTCTCTTAGCAAATTTCAAGTATACATTTTTTTAAATTTAATCTCATTTTTATTATTTTTTTAAGTAGGCTCCACACTGTACATGGGGATTGAACTCACGACCCCAAGATCAAGAGTTGCATGTTCTACTGACTGAGCCAGCCAGGCATCCCTCAAGTATGTGTTATTTTTTATTTTTATTCATTTATTTCTTTTATAATTTTTTCAAGTATATTTTTTTATTTTGAGAGAGAGAAACAGAGCAAGAGGAGGGGAGGGGCAAACAGAGAGGGAGAGAGAATCCCAAGCAGGCTCCCCAGTGCCAGCACAGAGCCCAATGTGGGGCTAGAACCCACGAACTGTGAGATCATGACCTGAGCTGAAATCAAGAGGTAGGCACTTAACTGACTGAGCTACCCAGGCACCCCTATGTTATTTTCTTAATAGCTTTATTTTTTTAATTTTTTAAATGTTTATTTATTTTTGAGAGACAGAGAGACAGAGCACAAGCAGAAGAGGGGCAGAAAGAGAGGGAGACAAAAAATCTGATGCAGGCTCCAGGCTCCAAGCTGTCAGCACAGAGCCTGACGCAGGGCTTGAACTCACAAGCCATGAGATCTTGACCTGAGCCAAAGTTGGACACTTAACTGACTGAGCCACCCAGGTGCACTTATTTTTTTTTAATGTTTATTTATTTTGAGAAAGAGAGAGAGAGAGAGACAGAGAGACAGAGAGAGAAGGAGGGGCAGAGAAAGAGGGAAAGAGAATTCTAACCAAGCTCCACACTGTCAGCTCGAAGCCCTGTGCAGGGCTCCATCTCACGGTTGGTGAGATCATGACCTGAGCCAAAATCAAGAGTCAAAGACTTAACCAACTGAGCCACCCAGGTGCCCCTTTAACAGCTTTATTGATGTATAAATAACGTACATGCATACACCAGTGAAACCATCACCACGATCTAGGAAATGTACATATTCATCACCCCCAAAAGTTCACTTGTGTGCTCTGTATCATTCCTCTGCCCCTCCCATTCACCTTTCTCTAGGCATCTACTGATCTGCCTTTTTTATAAAAACAAAAGTTTATGTATTGATTTTGAGACGAGGGGGGAAGAGACAGAGAAAGAGAGAGAGAGAATCCCAAGCAGGTTCTACACCATCAGCACAAAGGCTGATTTAGGGCTCGAGCTCACAAACCGTGAAATCATGACCCAAGCTGAAATCCAATCGGTGCTTAACTGACTGCGCCACCCAGGCACCTACTAACCTGCCTTTTATCACTGTAGATTAGTTTGCATGTTTCCCAAGTTTTACACAAAAGGGGACTCATCCATGTTGCAGTGTATATCAATAATTCATTCCTTTTTATTGCTGAATATATTCCACTATACGGATAGACCCGTTTGCTTAACCATTCTCTTCTTAATACATTATTGTTAACTGTAGTCACCGTGCTGTATGTACTGAAGGTCTCCAGAACTTAGTCATCTTATAACTGAAAGTTCATACCCTTTGATCAATGTCTCTCCTTTTCCCCCATCCACTAGCCTCTGCTGATGACCATTCTACTCTGTTACTATGAATTCGACTTTTTTTTTTTTTTTTTAGATTCCACATACTGAGATCATGAGAAATTTCTGGTCTGGCTTATTTCACATAGATAATGTCCTCTAGTTTCGTCTAAGTTGTTGAAAATGGCAGATTCCTTTTTTTTAAGGCTGAACGATTTATATACATATGTGTGTGTATATATGTGTAAAAACTTTGGTTTGCGAGGATAATTCGTTCCAGAAACACGCTTGTAATCCAAAGCACTTGTATATCAAAGAGAATTTCCCCATAAGAAATAATGGAAACTCAGATGATTTCATTCCACAACCAGAAAAATATTCATATACAAATGATTACAATACTGTAATAGAATACAAAATAACAAATAAAATATAAAATATAAAGAAAAATAAACACATTAACCTGAACTTACCTTTGAAAATCTTCATGGATGGTGTGACGGAGATGAGAGAGGAGGATTATTGTGTAGGACAACTTTCACTGTCACTAATGGAATCACTGCTATCTATTGGCTAGATGGAATCTTTTTCTTTTCATGCAACTTTAACAAGGGACCCATCCAATGACCTAGAATGAAGCAAAGCATTCCTAAGCTTACTCTTGTATGGAAAAGCAAAGGACTGTCCACAGGTGCTTTGCAGTGACAAAAAATACACTAGTGCCAGTTGTGGGTACCTCCCAACGTTCTGAAAAATCACTGCTTTCTGCCGAATGCCTCGGCCTGAGACCGAGCATCCGAGCTTGGGAGATGATCACCCACAATCCCTCAGCAAGAGAGAGACAGAGAAAAACCGATGCTCAGTGGTGATCATATGACATCCAGCCTCATGTACTACTCATATTGCAGACATTGCTCGTTTACCAAGCAATTATCAAGTTAAAAATTATTAGAAATGTTTGCTTATCTTACAGAAAACATACA